TGATCTTCCTGCATGTGGCATAACTGCAGGTGCTGCATGAGTCTAAAGAGAAATTTATGGACTAGTATTGGACATATGGGCTAATATCGGACTTATGGACTGGATCTGAACTGGGCTGGGATGTTTTCTCAATATAAATTGCTCTTTTATATAAAACTCTTTCTTGTACACATATGAGTCTCTATGAATTTGTTTCTCTAGTTCACCCAGACTAACATATTATGGTACCAGGAGTGGGGTACTAGAGAAACAGATCGTGAAGATGGGGAGAGGACGCTTGTCTGACCCCTGCCTCAGGGTAGTTTTTCTTCTAAGGGTAGCAGAGGTCCGATATGGCCATGCAGTGTACTGGGTGGTCTTCTGGAAAGAATATGGGAAGCTAAAGTGCTAGTTATTTTGTTTGCTTGTAGTTTTGGTTATTTCTGTGTGAAATGGTGAAAATGAATGTAATAAATGTATATTTTGAGCTCAGGGGACAGAATTGCCCCTTGAATTGCTCAGATATCAGGCTGCTTAGTGAAAACGGTTAACAGACAGTCAAAATAGCTGACAGAAGACCTGGCCCTGGCATAAGGCAATGCAGCCAGAGACCTAAGGCCATATTTTGTATCAATGGAATAGTTTAGATAAGGGTTAAGATAAGAACTTGACTGCTTTAAGATTTGGGTTTAGGATCTGGCTGGTTTACACTGTTTTATACTAGGTTTATACTGTTTTCTTCTATTGTTATTATATAATGATTGATAGAAATTATTATTGGGATCACTTCTCGGCCTTTTGGCTATGATCAAGTGTAGAAATGATTACTGGGGAGTATGAAAATAGAGACCTTGTAAGCCCACTTGCCTTCAGCCATTGATTTGAATCTTTAAATGGGTTAGGACAGACCTGCAAAGAAGGTTCTGAAAAGCTAAACCCCACCCAGTGTCTTGAGTGCTCAGGACATTTGATGGTGAAAAGACTTGCCGAGGGGGCTGTTGACAGAGTGAAAGGGGGGGACCCCTTGAGGTTTTTTAGAATTTCGAATTAGTTGTTTGTGTCAGAAGCTTGGTGGGGGTGGGGGATGGAACCATAAAGATACTTTCCTCTCTAGCACTGAATGTTAAAGGGAGCCTGCAGGCAGCCTGAATAAATTACTTTCTCCAACCTTCCTTTCCGTTTGGATTATGGGCTCCTTTAAATTACAGGGGGAATGGGAGTGTAAAGCAGCAGGTTTAATACTTTAATTCAACACCAAACCAGCATATTTCCCTCACATTCCTTCAACCCTGAAGAGTTTCCGACCTCTGCAGTCCTCAGGCAAGTTTTCCCAGGAAGCCCAGTCTGGTAGATAAGACCTGAGCTGGAGGCATGCTGCGGAACAGAACAAGGAGGTAATTGGCAAGGATGCCTGCCCTTCATTGGGGACAGGAGGGCTGCTCTAGAAAAGACCATCACCCCAGGCCTTTCTACTCTGCACATTAGAAAGAAGCCACTGGTTGGGGCAGGCTTTGAGGTAAGACTTAAGACCCC